GTTGACCGTCAACATCGCTGCCGGCGAGGTCATCACTCCTGGTATGTTTCTGTGCACTTATTCTTCAGCCTTGTTGAGTTGCTGTAGCTAATACCTCCTCTAGGTGCCATCAAGGTGATCAAGGGCCAGGGTATGCCCTCTTACCGCCACCACGACTTCGGTAACCTGTACATCCAATTCGACGTCAAGTTCCCTGAAAAGGATCAGCTCCAGAACCTCGATCTCCTGGAGAAGGTCCTGCCGCCTCGTATGGAGCAGCCTCAGCCTCCGGCTGATTCGATGGTTGAGGATTTCGAACTGGAGGACATTGACGCCAGCGAGGGCTCTCAAAGACGCGCTCATGGCGCCGCCAGCTCCATGGACGAGGATGACGATGATGTTCCTCCTGGCGCTGAGCGGGTGCAGTGTGCTTCGCAGTAAAAGGCATTGGGGAAGATGGTTGTGGCTAATATAGTTGATGTGTGCTGGTGCACTTACGCGAGTCGCTTATGATACCACGTGGGGGAGCCGTCCCTGGTACGATTCGGTTCCTTTGTGTTTCTGACTTAATGATTTGCTTTGCGATGGCGTTCGCTCTGAAGACCTGGGGGATGACAATGGAGAGATCGCTTTTTTCGTTTGACTTTTTCATCATACTTGAGATTCCCTTGCATAGGATTTCCTTTCTGTTTTGTGGGATGAAGCATTGACTTTGATGAGATGATGAGGATGAATGACGATGTTTCATCGAAGATTCGGTCGCTTCGGCTCGCTTGAATGCCGCGAATGGTGTTTCTTTCACATCTATAGACTTGAATGCGGATTGGGTATTGAACTTCAAGAATATCTGCTCCAACGAACTCCGTAGTCTTGGCCGCTCGCCATTGCCTTTTTGCAGAATACTCACCCATTTGATAACCCGGGGTAGACTCATTGCTCGGCTTTCGCTAATTGCATACTAAGAATGAGCTGTGCCACATGGAGAACTGACGATTAAACAAACATTGACCCTTAAAACTCCACTCATTGGACCGATTTCAGTCACCATTACACCCATCATCGTTTTGGACATTCGAGATAAAGGTAGTCGGGACAAACAGGGTTACTCTACAACTTGGAGGGCGGCATATACTTCGGTACTTACCTTGCTTTCTGAACCCATTGCGCAGAGATTTGCTGTTGGAATGGAGATGGGATACGGTTACCATCCTTGACTCGGAAAAGGAAGGCCCTTAGTATGATTTTAGGGTCGGAGTTCAGGTTAGTGAAGACGAGGTGGTCCTCGAGCACCTAGGCAGCTTATAGGTAGAATTGCGCAAGATTGATTGATGGGCTGGGAGCATGTGGATTATTGGGATGGGTGGTTGTGGTTGAACCATCTCTCTTCGTTCCGAACTTTGACTGGCATTTGAGAGGCGATTTGGGTATACCACGCCAATTGAGCATGAGTGCCCAAGGAGGAAACGAGATTTTGAGACGTATGGCTTTTTTAATGGAGCAGACAAATCTAGATTGAAGATTTCAGCTTGAATGAGGTAGAAAGGAACAGTAACTGCTCTCGACTGATAGCTAGATTGTTGCAGCCGGCTCATTCAGCGGCCGTTGGAGCAGAGTCGTATGACTGCCTCATGGACCGAGGGTGGCTCGGCGCAAGCAAAAGCGGACTACGGGTCAGTATTCGGACTCGACTAGTGATCAAATTCATGGTAGCGCCGTGAGTGTGGTCGCTTGATCAAGCACAGCGGATTTGACTTGGACATGCTTTACGCTGACCATGATAGAAGGACAACGGGGTGGCGTCCCACGTTTTCCTGGTTGCCTCGACATGCTCTCCGGTGAGCACTTCGATGTCCAACTCGATTGACAAATACGATGTAGCCCTGCAGCTTGCCACATGGACAAAACGGCTCAGATGCAAGAAGTACAGTGTGGGGGAAAGTGCTGTAAGACTTTCATGTAAGGCAAAAGGTTCTCGGGACGTTAGCACAGAGGCAAACCGTGAGCTTGGGTACTGATCCGCGGTATCAGAGCACATGCTGCCCAGATTCTCACGCGGTCTCGCTTGCGGTTACTTGTTTCTCACACATCCGCCAGAGCTGGATGGTGCGTTCAGTCCAAGCCAGGGAAAAGTAAATGAGCCATGGCCTCGTTTTGATGGAAATGAGCCCAGCCCTTCCATGAGAAGCGAGAGGCTGTACCTCGAAGCGATCATTGCAAGCCTTCTAGCTACAGGAGTAGTCATGCGGCGACCGGACTCTGCTGTGTGACAGGAGCTAAGAGGGAGTAAGCCACGAACCAGGGCGTCAGACTTTCGGTGTTTAGTGGCAACGCGATATTTCCCAATCTGCTCCGTACCCAGCAGAATAACTTCGTCGGCGGTTGCCAAGTATGATAAACAGCCATCCAGCTTTGAAATTAGGTGGCCGGGTAGATGTGATGAGTCTCGTACCTAGGTAGGATGGCACGTAGTCAAGAGATTAGTGTTTAGGGCGATTGGGCCTCATTCCTGATTGTCGCAGGATCTCTTGACGGGATAGCTTGATTCAAATAGGAGTTGTCAAATGCTGCGCTGTGATAAGATGGAGATGATGCGATTTTGATCTCGATGGTGTCAGAGTGGGGAAGACCAGGGTTATAACTCTGGCGCGTCTGGGTGTTGTCTGACTCTGAGAAACTCAGAATTATCGGATTATCCGCAGTTGCCTGCGTTATTCGATTACATTTGGATTGGAGCTGTCAAAGTCATCTGTGTTCGGCAACTTTGGAAGCTGAACTGGATGATCCAGACATGTCGGTGTCATGAGTTCATGACAGACCTTCAGCAGTTGGCTGCTGGATCGGTCTCCACTGAAAGTGCTTTTAATTTGATCATTCCGGTGATGCTGACTATGTCTATGGGGAGTGCTTGCAGCCTTGTCCTGTAAGTAAACTAACTAAGGTAGCCTAGCCTGTAGGAGGACGGAGCTTAAACGGGTTGGGTGCAGCAAGACCGAAGGAGGTTCGTCGCCGAGAGTCCAAGCCACATGTTGCTAAATAGGATTAGAGCCCTGCAGTCTGCATATGCGAATGATCTGATCTCAATGCTCTAAGCATTGGTAGGTTAAAGCAACTGTAGAGTGCTGACAGCCTGAGAGTGAAGACGCTCTCGATGGCAAGTTATCAATCTCCTTGTAAATACCCCACAGTTCTTGTATTCTTCAGTCTTCGATTCTCTTTTCCAGCTCATATTCTTCAGAATTTTCATGTATTTTAATTGACATGTTACTATTCTTAATTAAACTTGAAACATTTAGACTCCCGAGATTACGCTTGATGAGTAGCGTCGACACCTTTAGTCAAACTGGACACTGCCTTACGCACCTTCGTCCTTAGGAATGCTCGCAACGGCACACGTGGACCTTCCAAGCCGGTAGGGGCTTTCACCATCAATGCATGCGATGGCGTGTTCTGCCGGAATCCCTATTGGCGGTTAAGCTTGGTGGAGTCTGGAGGAAATCTGCAGCGGATGATGTCGCAGTCTGCCCATCAGTAGTTTTGATTGGCTGTACTTAAAGCGGTGAGGTCCGCAAGTCTGGAGAGTCTGCCGCCAGGTCCCCACTTGTTCTTGGCATTAAACGACTCCTACTTCGGTATTTTGGAGTTGAAGATCTTACTGAGTGGATAGTTGAGATCGTTAGGTTGTAACAGCTGGTACAGTTACGGAGAACAATTACGGAGTACAATTTTCGGATAGAGGGCCATGGATATCTTCGCTCAGTAGCTTTGATGTACCCGAATATTCCTTCAGGAGCTTTACTCTGCAGAGAGCGGAAATGCTGCGGAGATAATCATCGTCCTTCTAGATGCGGTCCTGATGGCAAACCATGGACCCGCCCCGTCGTCATCTTGCAAGTATCTATCCAGATACTAGTGCTTCACTGCTTTCAGAGCTTTCAGTGTTCCGAAAAACAGAGATTTCCCTTTGTCTCTGCGGTAAACGTGGCTCTTACGCCTGCACCTGTAATCTGGCGAGTTGAGGCGCATTTTTCTATTTGACGCATTGATAATTTCGAAATTCGGGCCTGATTACTTCCTTGGCTCTATTTTCTCTCTCTTACAGAGGTACAAGTATTTTCGTCTTGCTTTGGCCACCGATCAATGTGGGTCTCATGGTTCCCATGTCGCCGTGCGCTCTTGGCTTAATTTTCAAGATACGTAAAGGTATCTCCTCCGTATCTAGGTATGGAGTACATAAAATATCTAGTTTAAAAAAAGTATCCATTATTATTCTTACTTCCTTGTTCAAGATCCGAAATAGCGTGACTTGATTTGAGAATCTGGAAAAGTAATCCTGTCATTATTAATGATTTTCTCCCCTGTTCTCGCATGTCCATCCCCCAATGAGGGATCTACATCTTGACGGCGTCAACGCAAACCCTCCACCTATTTCTTTTTGCTCTACTGCTTTAAACCATCTTCATCCCTTCCTCTATCTATCTCCTCTACCTGACCTCCGTTTGCTTTTTTCTCGTTCGTGTTCGAACGCCTCCGCTGGCTAGAAGACGTTCCCCGGCTGGCTCTCTCCCTAAAGCCACACTACGATTCCTTGTTTTATCAACCAAAAAAGTAGCTCCCCCACGCTCACTATCATTTTATTTCCCTCGATTGCTTGTTCATATTGGTTGCCTTTTGATCAGTCTGGACAATATCACTTCCAGCTTAAGCTTTGGGGGCTGATTCGTTGCGGATAGCTAGCAATTCGCATTCTCATCTCCGGATCACGACATCGCTCTTGGCTTTTCTAGATCTTTGCCTTTCCGTCTTATATATCTATCATCGACGCTATGGAGTCTGCTTGAATACACTCATCAACACACCGACTGAGCCAATCTCATCCGTGGCACACGGCTACCCGTTTCAAATTTGAAGGTCTCTGCTCGCCGAACCTTCTCGTCAAGCCCTGCTGAGGTCTGGGCATACTATACCCTCTCCGCCAGACATCTCCTGGTCCATTCGGACGTTCGTCTACGTACACAGCCATCATGTCTGCCGATCTTAAAACCAAAATTGGCCACGGGCTGGCCAAAGGCTTAAGGATCAAGCTTCCCTATCGCGACCCCCTTGGTGCCAATGCTGACCCGGTAACCCGGGGCGAGTCCACGTTCTCCGTTGGCACCGTGGAAACCTATTCCTACGTCGAACCGGAGCCGACCTCGGCTGAATGGCTCAAAGAGCTCTGCCCAACTTGGCAGGATATTGGCCACTACTTCTACAGACTTTTCCCTTTCTTGACTTGGATCACGAGGTACAATATGCAATGGTTTTTGGGAGACCTTGTTGCTGGTAAGCAATCCCTCCTTGCTCCTCAACCCTATTCTTCTGTCTAATCGATTCTCAGGTGTGACTGTTGGAGCCGTGGTCGTTCCCCAGGGTATGGCGTACGCGAAACTTGCTGCCTTGCCTGTTGAATTCGGTCTCTATTCCTCATTTATGGGTGTCTTGATCTACTGGTTCTTTGCTACTTCCAAGGATATTACCATTGGGGTGAGTAACTCTACCTTTTGTTCCCTCCGCAGACTAGTATGCTAACATTGCTTTTAGCCCGTTGCGGTTATGTCTACGCTGGTTGGAACTATCGTCCTCAAAGCTCAGAAAGAGATCCCGGATGTGCACGCTTATACCATCGCATCCGCCATGGCTATCATCTGTGGTGGGATCGTCTGCCTCATGGGTCTCCTCCGTCTCGGTTTCATTGTCGACTTTATCCCACTTCCTGCAATTTCTGCCTTCATGACTGGATCAGCCCTCAATATCTGCTCCGGTCAGGTCAAAGACCTACTAGGCGAGACTGCCAACTTCAATACCCGAGATGCAACCTACAATATCATCATCAACACCCTCAAGAACCTTCCCAGTGCCGGACTGGATGCGGCGATGGGTCTCACTGCCTTGGCCATGCTTTATATCATCCGCTCTGCCTGTAGCTTTGGCGCAAAGCGCTATCCTCAGCGCGCCAAGACCTTCTTCTTCCTGTCTACGCTGCGCACTGTCTTCGTGATCCTATTCTACACGATGATCAGCGCCGCGGTGAACATTCACCGCAAGAAGGCTGCATTTAATCTTCTGGGAAAAGTTCCCCGAGGCTTTCAGCATGCCGCTGTCCCCGTCCTCAATGCCAGAATCATTAAAACGTTTATCGGTGAACTTCCCGCCGCGGTCATCGTCCTTTTGATTGAGCACATTGCCATCTCCAAGTCGTTCGGCCGTGTCAACAACTATACCATAGACCCCTCTCAGGAGCTGGTTGCGATTGGTGTTACAAACCTGCTCGGCCCGTTCTTAGGAGCCTACCCCGCCACTGGATCCTTTTCCCGAACAGCCATCAAGTCCAAGGCGGGAGTGCGAACTCCCTTGGCCGGCTGCATTACCGCAGTTGTCGTGCTGCTTGCCATCTACGCCTTGCCGGCTATGTTCTACTACATCCCCAAGGCATCCCTCGCGGGTGTCATCATCCACGCGGTGGGCGATCTCATTACCCCTCCAAACACCGTGTACCAGTTTTGGCGCGTCTCTCCCTTGGATGCGATCATCTTCTTTATCGGTGTGTTTGTCACCGTGTTCACCTCAATCGAGATTGGAATCTACTGCACTGTCGCTGTTTCCGCAGCCGTTCTGCTGTTCCGCGTTGCGAAAGCTCGCGGCCAGTTTCTGGGAAGGGTCACTATTCACTCGGTCATCGGTGACCATCTTGTGCAAGGTGATGGCAAGTATGGACCGGGCAACGGATATACTCCCGCCGATGGCAAGGGCAACTTGCAACGCTCTATCTTCCTCCCTATCGACCACGCCGATGGAACTAACCCTGAGGTCGAAGTGCAGCAGCCGTATCCCGGCATCTTTATCTACAGATTCTCCGAGGGATTCAACTACCCCAACTGCAACCACTACACCGACTACCTTGTCCAGACAATCTTCCGGCAGACCCGTCGTACGAATCCCTTCTCCTACACCAAGCTTGGCGATCGGCCATGGAACAACCCTGGTCCTCGCCGTGGAAAGGAAGAAGAAGACCGGTCGCATCTGCCGACCCTCCGCGCTGTCATTCTTGATTTCTCGTCCGTCAACAACGTGGATGTGACCTCCGTACAGAATCTGATCGATGTGCGCAACCAATTGGATCTCTATGCCGCTCCACAGACCGTGCAATGGCATTTCGCCCACATCAACAACCGCTGGACCAAGCGAGCCCTGGCCGCCGCCGGTTTCGGCTACCCGACTCCAGCCTCCGAAGATGGATTTCACAGATGGAAGCCTATCTTTAGCGTTGCCGAAATCGAGGGCAGGTCCTCCGCCGCCGCGCTCGCCGAGCTCGTGAACAACCAGCAGGCCCACAAAGCGGAACAGAAGAACGGTGACATCGAAGAGGGTCTCAAGGACAACTCGCATGCAACGGAGCGCGAAACCCACAGCATTGAAACCCCGTCCGACATCAGCAGTACTCATGACGATAAACTGCAGCGCGATCTGACGGAGAGCAAGGCGTACCGGAACCGCCGTAAAGTGGCGCTCGTCCAGGGCCTGAACCGGCCGTTCTTCCATATCGACCTGACCAGTGCACTGCAGAGCGCATTGGCCAACTCGGAGCAGGACCTTCATGTTGATCCTGCTGAGGTGAATGCCACGACTGATGCTTGATTATTGCACCGTCAATGATCTCCCTGGTTGGAGTTGAACGCCGTGCAGCTGTATCTGGATTTTTACCTTACCGCGCATGTTCTGTTTCTGGTTATCAGCGAGTTCAGTTTTGTCTGGGATGGATATCCCAAGGTATACCCCTACAGTCTGGCTTTGTATATAGTCATAGAATCATTGGATACTTGGATATAATATCATGTCAATGAAGACACTATCTCCTGAGACTTCCACTTTTCGTTTTGTTTCTCGTATCTGCGGCGGAACGTCATTGTGGCAGTGCACCGGCCTTCATACCGGGACAGGAGACACTTGGACTGCGCTAATGACACCCGTCGATCCATAAAGCCCGATTCGACAAGAATAGGGTATTCTGATTAGTGGTTAGAGACACTCAATTGTTCGTGTGGCTGACGGTTAATCCAGGGTCTTCTACTTTCGAGAATACGAGAGTTGCCTCTTTGGGAACAGAAACCCCACGACACAATGGCTCCGGTGACAGAAACAACAGAGGTGCTCGTCTATAAAATGATGTATGTCCTCTGCTTTCTTGTTCATCATATCAACCTCTTCTCCTTCTTTTGATAGAAATCGACATAGAGTAACTGTGCTTGCAATCCGATGTTCGCAGCCGCTAAGCACATCTACAACAAGACACGGACACGGTCCAAGTCTGGCGGAGAGAAAAAGCCTCTCTGCCAACACCGCTTACGATCGAGCCAGTCTGCTCCTGCAGCAGACGATGGCTTGTCTGCAGAGCAAACCTCCATAAAGACAGAGGACAAGCACATACTCCCTCAGTCATCCCCAGAAGATGACGGCCCGTGCCACCTCTGCCAACAGCAGCGACGCCAAGACCGCATCTACAGATGGAAACTCATCTGTGGCTTGACGCTCCCATATATCCTGAGCACTCTAGATCTCACGATCGTTGCCACGGCAGTCCCATCCATCGCATCGCATTTCAGTGCGTTCTCCCGTAGCCCTAATCCTCACTTGCGCAACGTGCTCACCTGTACCAGACAAATTTGATGAACTCAACTGGATCGTCACCGCGTTCAMACTAACTTCGACAACATTCATCCCTATCTTCGGACAGCTTGCCGACGTATTCGGTCGGCATGCGGTACTCCAGCTCGCCATGTTCCTGATGCTGGTGGGGAGTACGCTGTGCGCGGCGGCGCAGAGCTGGGGGATGCTTTTGCTGGGGAGGGCGCTGCAGGGGACGAGCTCGGCCGGGATCATGAATATCATTATGATTGTCCTGGCGGACCGCGTTTCGCTGAGAGAAAATGCAAGGAACAATTCGATTTTTGTGTTTGTGGGGGGTTTAGGCTACGGGGTTGGGCCGGTTGTTGGGGGGTAAGTCATCTGGAGAGTCTTAATGATGGTGACGCTGATGCTGATGGTGATGCACAGGTATTTGACTGATGTAAGTCTGAGACTTGGGATTTTCGGGCCTCTGACTGATAAGAATAGAGCAATTGGAGGTACTGCTTTCTGGTGCCCATACCGGTGAGTCAGGTCATCGACGGCAGGATCTGATCTTGGAACTAACCACGTACTTCATAGATTGCTTTTATATCGCATATCGTGATCTTTGTCCTCCTACGCAATGAGCTTGTCGAAGGAACCGTCTTCAAAAAAGGCTCGCGAACGTCTGCCGTGCTTCCAGCCCTGGCAACGCTGGACATCGGCGGGGCAGTCCTGTTCATCTTCGGCGCCGGCCTCATCATCCTGGGCACGGCCTGGGGAGGGCCGACATATCCCTGGTCTTCCCCCGAGGTTCTAGTGCCACTGATTGTGGGCGGCATGTGCTTTGTGCTGTTTTTCGTGTACGAGTACTTCCTCGAGCCAGGCAGATTGTTTGCTCGGATGTTCCCAAAGCAGGTACCCATGCTGCCGTATAGCATGTTCTCCAGACGCGATACGATTTGGCTTGCAGTTTTGGAGCTTTCCAGTGGAGCAGGTACTCATCTCATCTTTTGTTTCCTATGGTTCACAGGTACTGACGCTTGGCGTTGCAGCTATGTACTCCATCTTCTATTTCATCGGCATATACTTCACCCTAGTCGAAGCCTATCCTGCCTCGACAGCAGGTATCAACCTGCTCTACTACATTCCAGGATTAGGAGGTATTTTCTCATGCCCCCTACTCTAACTCCAGGATCAAAGCTAACAGAAAAAGCCGGCGTCTACATCGCCGTCTACCTCTGCAACGTCTACCCAGCCCAGACGTTCTTCACCATCAACACGGGCACAATCACCGAAACCACCGCCTTCGCCGTCCTCATCTGGGCCATCAGCACGCAAAACACCACCCTTATAAACGGGATGATGGTCCTCGCGGGCGCAGGCACGGGGCTCCGTCTCATGCCCATAAACCTGCACACGGCAGGCGTGTGGCCTGAGAAGATCGCCCCGGCGATGTCGCTGATGCGATTTGCGCTGCCGTTTGGCGGAACGCTGGGGTTGACGATTATGGGGAGTGTTTTCAACAATCGGCTTTCGAACAAGAGCAGCGGGAGCGGGGATATGGCCGGGCTGGACGTGCACAACGGGTCTTCGTTGGAGTACATTGCTGGTCTGCCTGAACCGGAGCAGGAGGCTATCCGAACTGCGGGCAAGGAGGCGATCATGTGGGCGTTTATTGCTATCATGCCCCTCATCGGGTTGAGTCTTGCGACGGGATTGGTGATGGGTAATGTATGGATCAAGCCGGAGCGTTCGCGTCAGCGTCAGAAGCAGGCTGGGACCGGGACCGAAGGAGCAGACGAGGGCGGCCATAGCGAGGTCATATACGTTCCGTACCTGTGGGCATTACTTACGGTACCTTCCCTTTCCCCTTCCCTTTGGCCCTTCTCGTCGCCTTTTACAGTAAATACTGACACAGACAGGGCAACGTAAACAGATACAAACACACCAACAAGCCCAAGCCAAGACAAGAAGAGGACACCGAACTCCATCCCCTCCCGCAGAGCCAAGCATATCATAGAGTAGCATAGCATGTACTGTCATTCCAGATAATAATAATAATACACCCTCATCCAAACCCTCCACCACACATCTATCCAACCCCTATCCAATCCAATCCAAGAAAGAAGAGAAAGACATCACCTCAAAACACCCCCGACACCCGCCCACCCAAGAATAAACCCGGAGAGTGCCTCCCCAAGCACCCCGCCCCCAAGCCACACATCCCTCCACGCGCCTCTCCTCCCTCCGTTCCCCTTAACGAACCCCCTCCCATCAATTCCCGCAATCTCTCCCCCAGCACCCGGGAAAAACACACCGGCCCCCTTCCCACCACTCCTCCTGAGAACGAGCAGATGAAACAATCCCGATACAAGCACCGTCCCGAGCAGATAAAACGCGAAGCCGGTGGCCGATTGCAGCGCGAGGATTCCGGCTGTGAGGCCTAGAAGGAAGGAGGTGAGGGAGTGGAGTTGGGAGAGGACCTGTTTCTGTCAATACTACCATTCAGCCAGTTAGACAAGGGGGTGAAGGGAGTCTAACTCTGTTATTATGTTGGACGGACTCCGGGACGAGCGGGTTGATTAGCAGGGAGAGTTCTTGTTTTGTAGCAGGCATTTTCTGTGCTGGTTCTGGTTCTTTCTTTCGAGGTGGTGGTCTTGTGTGTGCTCAATCCAAGTTTGTGTTGGTATGCTGTTGGTTGTGGAATCTTTGATAATGATGTGGATATAATATGGTAATGAGTGAGAGTTCGAAAGTGATGTGTCTACCTCTGGTAAAGTGGTGGGGATCTKGTAAGTTGATACACGGAGGTTGACACCGCTGTCGAAGAGCTCCACCAGCCAATCACAATGCTTGTTACCTCATCTACCTTACCTACCTAGGTCCTACGGATTAAGGAAATTGACTGCACACACTCCATTACGCTTGTAATAACTGCTAGGGACTGCTCAAATCATGTCATATTAATTGATTATGTGCATAACATAACAGTAGTAAATCAAACACTGCACATCCTGGTCAGACAGACCCGTTGCTTTCATAACCCGTTTCCAGACATCGCCAGCACTTGAGACACAACCGGGCCTCTCAAATGCGGCACGCTCTGTTGATCCGTTGATCGGCCGCGTAAAGCCAAAAAGCACGTCACAAAAAGTACATACATCTCTCCTTCCAAAGCTCATTCCAAAGAGATCGCTCATAGGTCGGATCCTGCCACTTATGCCAAGGTCAATCTAGTCAAATTAATGCAGTTGAGAGAATGTTAGAACGAAAAAAGAAATGACAGAAATAAATCCGTGTCATCACGCAATGTTATCAAGTTTTCCTTCGGTCTTGGCCTCCTTGACTTGCTCAAACACCTGTGATCGTCAGTAAATACATCCTGTCAGTTCAAGGGTTGGGCGAGACAAACCTTGAGCATCTTGTTCCGAGCGCCAAGAGCGTTAACACCTCGATCCTCCAGAGCCTTGTCATCGAGTTCAATCAGCTCGGTCCACTTGAGGTCCTTCAGGTTATCCGTGTACTTGTGCAAGCGAAGAGACCTCAGCCAGCTGGGAATATCCTTCAGAAGATTTGGGTCGGTAGGATCCTCTGGCGGCTTGGAGCTGCCACGACGGCCCCGGGGAGAGCGGCCACGAGTGACTTCGGAATGATCAGAGAGGTAGCCCTCATGACCGCCGAGCCCGAACTGGCTGAGACCCAGAGCACCCAATCCATTACCCAGTAACGGATTGTTCGGGTCATAAGCAGCCAGGAAGCCATTGTTTTGCGGTGAGGTGAAGCCCATTGCTCCAAGCGCGCCTCCCTGCATGGCAATGCCTGGGGAGGTCGGGCGGGACCGTCGACCCGCCATCGCCGCCTGCTGTTGAGCTTGCAACGCAGCTAACTGTTGGGCGTTCAAAAGCTGTCCCGCAACTAGATGATTCGCTCCCGGAAGACCGGGGCTTGCAAGTCCGCCTTGCACCATGGTCTGGTTGACATTGGTGTTGGCAGATCTGCCCTGTCCATCGTTTGAGCGAGCACGGCGG